AAGCACATAACAGGATTTGACGGCCATTCTACACATTCTAAAATTATGTAAACCACTTATCTGTCTGAAAATAATTACAACAACAACTGCGTAGTGGAATGAGTAAGGAAGAATGTTCTTTGAATTTGGGAGGCACCACTTGTGTAGTCTTCAAGAAGTCTTTTGTTATTTTGAAGTGATGAATAGTTTCTTTCCTCTGCACTTTAAAGTAATATCTTTAACTCGGTGCGTTTGGTTTATTATTTTGGAGAGGATTTTGGGAATAATATTGAGCAGTTGAATAGGAGAGTATTACGAGGGAAATTTAAAAATTTCTAAAAAACCCTTTAGGTTTGTTAATTAACTAAAACACCTAATATATAAAAATTTTATAAAATAACAAAAACCCCCACCACCTGCAGTGGCCAGATTCTGGCCACCACCGCCGGAATCTGGCCGAAAAATTGAGTTACGACATAGAACGGTCGGATCTGTGTGTAAAGCGTCGATATAGCCTTTCTGGTGGATCTGGCCGAAAAAGGCCAGATGTGGCCGTCGACGGCAGCAAAAGTCCATCTTGGCATCGTTGACCGACAACGACGGTCATATCTTTGGCCGTCGCTGACGACCAGATGATGAATTATCAGCCTTTTCTGGTCATGGTGTAGGCGTTGTAACAGATTCCGGCCGGAATCTGGCAACTATGGGTTTAGGGGGTGTTTTTTTGTGCTTTTTAAACTTTTTTTCTAGGGTTATTTAATGAAATTAATAAACTTAGGTGTCTAAAAGTAATTAAAAAATATACTAATATTTCTCAAATAATGTGTCAAACAATATTTGGGGAATAGGATTGAGAAATTGGTAGAAATATTGAACCAAACGCACCAAGCTTTTCTTTCAAATGCCACATGTTACTCGATGACTGGGCCACGTAAATTTTTAAGGTTTACTCTAACTTCTATCCTTAGGTCATACATGGGTCTTACTTTTGACTAAGCTGACTGTACTAAATGTTATGAAGTTACAAAGATGACCTCTTTCATTGTTATCTTTATAGTTACATGACAATTTTCAGTGAGTTTCAAGTCTTCTGAGTTTTTTGCTTAAGGTTTTGCAAACTAGTAACACTAAATTGATAATGATGATTGGACACCAATATTTGAGTAGTTGGTAAAGATTCAATATGTCAACCACAATTAGAAGTTAGAGAGAGGTTTTTTTTTTTTTTCAGTTGAAGCACGTAGTGTTAAGTGTGAACTTCTTTAGTTGATTGGCATTGGCTTGGTGGCTGCCATTTTAATCTGGTTAAGCAACTATGTAGCATAAGTAAATGTGAAAGTTAAAATATGTGTAGTGCTAGCCTTTCAATTGGACTGAGTTGAGCTTTTTCAATTGGAAATGATCTGTGATATGAACTCAGCATAAATAGGATGAGCTTATTCAATATGTCAGCATTATTCTTCATTTTATTCCCTCTTGGTTGTAGGATTCTTTATTGATATCTTACTCTCTGTATGAGTTAATTTCTAATTTAAGAACGACTTTCCAGTACATGTTCAACCCATTGTTGTGTGTCTTTATTTATGTATTTTTGTATGTTTCTCTAGATTTAAACCATGTGCCTGCTGGAGCTTTTAATACTCTTACAAAAATTTTGAAACCTATTTTGTAGGATAGTCAGTTTCCCTGCAAGGGAGGTGGCAGACGAGGTGGTGGTCATGAAAGGCTTGGCCACCATAATTCTTCAACTTTTTTATCGAAGAGTCATAGTCGAGGTAGTGGTAGCAGTGGTCCTAAACGCTTCTCACCACGTGGTGAATTGTCAACATCTTCACGTCCTGAATCTTCTGCTGCTCAAGAAGCAGGATTGACAAATGAAAATGCAGAGCCCCCAACTGATGCACCTGAAAAAGCAGTTGAATTGCTACCAGAGTCATCACTTTCTGCTGCACCAGAGAAGGTAGTGCTACGACCCACAAAGGCTGCATGGTGTGAATTTTGTAGAGTTAATTGCACTAGTTTGGAAATTCTTGAACAGCACAAGAATGGAAAGCGGCATAAGAAGAACTTGCAAAGGACTGAGGAGTTGAGAAAAATTGTCAAAACAATCACTGAAGTACAGAATGAACAAGAACCTGTGGCTGAGTCCAAGATCGAAGTGCCTCAGCATCAAAAGTTTGCTCAGGGTGGTCAAGATAATGATTCAGCAGGAAATATAGGTACTGAAACCATACTTGATAAAAATAAAATGGAGGCTGATAATCAAAACAATGCAGAGGAACAATCTGAAGTTCCTGCAAAGGAGTCTTCTGATTTGCAAGCTGGGAAGCCTAGGATGGATTCTGATAATTGGAGGTGTGGAGTGAAATGGAAGATGAGAGGTGGTCGGGGAGGAAAGTGGATGAAAATGTTTGGAAGTTCAAGGCAACCAATGGAACCTCCCATTTCCCAAACCTAAAGTGTAATTCCGCTAATATGTGACTTGTGCAATGTTAAATGTGACACGCGGGAAGTTTTTGACCGCCATCTTTCTGGTAAAAAACATATTGCTAAGCTTAAAAGGTTTGAAGGTCACCAAGCTATGTATGGCCCTATGGGTTACCCTCCTAACCCAATTGCTCAAACTCTTACCATTCTCAAGGACATCATCAGCCACCGGTTTATGGTTCTCACGGCTTATTTCCTCCATCTTGTCCTTACATGTCTCCACAAACTCACCAAGCTGCAGTCGAATCAAGTGGCATGGATAATGTATTTCAACAGTATCCCAAGGATCAAGCAGAATCCGCCACTGAATCTGGTGGTCACAATACTGGTCTAGTGGTTATAGAAACTCAGCAACAGGTAGCGACAGTAGAACCGGAGATCAGACAACCTTCTACAACATAGGCAAATTCTAATTTGATCTCATAGTCTGAAGTTTACTGGTTTGTCCTCCAGAAGATACCCGCCCTGCATAGAGTAATTAACTTCCAGAATCCAGTTATATCACCTTCTCTTAGACATCCATCAAATGCGGGGCTGGATGGCTTTATTACTTTTTCCTCTGTAAGGGGCGGATCCAGCTCATTTTTGGGTGGGCTATGGCCCACTCTCAATTTTTTTTAAAATATTAATATATATAATTTTTAGATTTTGACCCACCCTAATAAAAATATTAATGGACAAAAATATTAATATATAATTATTTTTTATTTTGGCCCACCCTAAAAAAAAATTCTGGATCCGCCAATGAACTTTGTACCCTTAGGCTCCGGAAAAGATTGCTGGTTCAATTTTATTGGTAGCTAAGTGAGAGTTGCTTGGGTAGTTTTATAGTTAATATTCTGATTTGTGCATTTCATTATTGAACAAGAGCTACACCTACTCATCACCGTAAAATCTGTTTGAAATGTGTGCCGAAGTCAAATCCTGGAAACATGGTGCGGGCGGGTCCCATTAGTTGCTCTCTTGGCTTTCTTTTATTTTTATTTTTTTTAATGATTAAAGTGATGGATTAGTTTACGTGTATTTTAATTAATCTTTTGATGTATTTTAATTAATTTTTTAGGATCCTGAAATTATTGACTATATAAGAACTTTAGTAACTACCCTTATTAACAATCGAAGAGAGACTTAAACTCAGAATCTCTTAACTGATACATCTAAGAGTTCTTATCGAATTATTCAACTACTTAAAAATAGTTACTCTTGCCTTAAGGCATACTCCATATTTGTTTAGAAGAAACATTTTCGATTGAAAAGTGAAAATTTATTATTAAATTGAGTTAATAATTAAATTTGATAAGTTTGTTATAACAACAAAATTAACAAACTTATCAAAATTCTGATTGTGCTTGATTGACATTGAATTTTAGGGTCTCTTTAGAAGTTTTTTTCCACTGGTTTTAAGGAGTTTTTAATTAAATTGGATTTGAGGTGTTTTAAAACTATTACTTGTCAGAATTTTTATACACTGGTTTTGACTAGCTCAAAAACCCCCCGAATCAGTGTAGTATATTTTTTAGGAGTTTATAAAACACTCCAAATCGGGGTGTTTTAGTTAATTTTAAAATTTTATTCCACAAATACCCTATCCACTACAAAACTATCCCAATTATATCCAAAAAAAATTAACCATATTATGCGTGTCTCTAGCAATATTAACTATAAAATAATTTTAACCAATCATAAAAAAAAAAAAAAAAATATTAAAATCTCATTTCTAGATACTTTCTTGAAGAAGTGGGGCTATAATTTTTCAATCACTCTAGATGCTGCAAAGAATAGCGAAGAAGTATAAAGAGACTTTATCAAATCTGAAGTTACAAAATACTAATAAGTAGAAAACAAATAGAGAACTCTTACCTTGTAATTGAAAAAAATAAAACTCCAAGTTGGGGTATTTTTACGGGCATATATGTAAATTTATTATTTTAAAAAACTGTCAAAACGGCTAGAAATTAAACTCCCATGCACAGATTGGGTGTTTTAAAAATCATCACTAAAAACCCCTTAAAACCACTACGATAGTTTATTCTCAAAACCGTTATGTTAGTTTACCCTCATAATCACTACCATGAAACTCCCAAGCGAACCCTTAAGTATTAACAAATTAATAATGATACTAAAATAAATGATAAGATAATAATTTAATAATATTTATTAACTCATAACAATATAAATTAAAACAATTTACTCATAAAATAATATGACAAGAAAATTTTTGTTATTTTATTATACTTTAAATTTATGTTTTTAACTTTTATTAAATTAGACAAATACTTACTATTTGAAAATAGTTTTACTTATATTTGAAGATTAGAGATTTTGTTTTGGTAAAAGTAATTTCCTAATCTCAACAAAAGTAAGAAGGGGTTGTAATTTTATTTCTTTAGTTTCACCCTTCCATCAATTGGTTCCTATATTTTACAAATTGAAGCCATATTAAAAATAGCTCCTCCATTCTTATTCTTCTTAAAAGAAAATAAAGATATTTGGGAGGAAAAGAAAAAGTGTAGGACTTAAAGGGGTCAAAAGAGTCAAAATAATTCTTGTTATTGATGGTTGTATAAAGGCGGTGCCACTTCTATCCTCTGCAGAATATCTCAATAAGCGAGTTGAGTTAATCAGGTATTTGACGAGGAGTTACAGTTATGGCCGACCACTCCGATGATTTAGACCAACTTCTCGACAGTATGTTCTTTTATTTGTTTATTTCTTTAATTCTCTCCTGCCCATTATTTCTTAATTCAATTACTTTCAGGTGCTTTGGATGATTTCCAGAATCTCAATCTCACTCCTTCCTCTCAAACTCAAAGGTCTCTTACTTTTTCAATTTTTCCTCTTTTTATATACCTAATTGTACTTGTATCTGTGTTCGCTCCAAAGCCTCTTCCTTTAATCTATACAGCTTTAAATTTCTGTCCTTGGTTCTCAATTTTGCTCAGAAGCTTGACTCTTTTGATTCAAATTTCAAGTTTTTATCTTTTATATCTGACATTTTATACAAGTGGCGGTGTTTTGGTATTAGTATATCTCAATTGGCACTATAGTTTATGTGTATATTTTTATCTAACTCAGGCGACATGATTAGTTTGTATGCTATGTTTATATGTCTTTTCTATATATTACAAGCTTTAAATTCCTCTTTTCTGTATAAGCTTTTTGCTATAAAGTTTCGACCTTTTTGGTTAAAAGAAGATTTAATCTTTTAGCTTTGGTTTGGTTTGCTTGTAGGAGTGGAGAAGGAAATGGCACAGAGAAGAAGCAAGAATTTGGTACTTTGCCATCTGGGATACAAGGGTTGGGGATGGGATTACCTGACTTGAAAACCAAGAAAAAGGGAAAGCAAAAGGTTTCAAAAGATTCCCATGTCACGGAGACTCTTAATAAGCTCAGAGAACAGACGAGGGAGGCTGTGAAAGGATTAGAATCAATGGCACAACCAGGTGGATTTGATTTCGGTAAGGATGCTGTGGTTGATGATTGGGTTAAGCAGTTTGAGGAGCTTGCTGGCTCTCAGGTAATTCTTCAATTTTATTATTATTATTATTATTTTTAATTTTTTGAGTTAATGGTTTTAGTGGTTTGCTTAAAACTAAATTGCAAGTACTGGTCTGAATTTGGTGTTGTTTGTGTTTACGCTGCTTTACTTTTTGGGGGTAATTGCTTGTACAATAAAGAATCTAGACAAGAGTTTTAATGCTTAAAAGCCCTTATGG